ACAGACTCCGCGTGACGGACACTTGGCAGCTGAGTTAGAAGAGAACGCAGCGCTCTAATTTTAAGACGCCGTTTTAGTGGGCTTATGTACGAAAACTGTGGTCCTTACAAGGACACAATTAAGTTGTCTAGGTTTTGATTTAAACTATTTAGACGAGTAAAATATCTTGTGTATTCGACTTCATAGCGCATGAATGTGTATATAATGCTAAAAGAAGCCGCTGTCGGTGAATATTGTGTATTTTAATGTCGGTGAATATTGTGTATTTTAATATCGATGAATATTGTGTATTTTAATATCGATGAATAATGATTGCGAATATTGACATGAAAGTCAATCACAGATTGCAAAACTGACATGTCACATTTATGTCAACCATGATATTATCGTGTATTTTCAGTAACTCGGCGGGAATGTCAATCAAGGCGTTTTCATTCCGTTATAAATCATAGTGTCAATATTTATAATACCATTTAATTTTCAGCCGATTTTTAAAATTTTGTTTATTGAACGGAATATTTATTTTTAGATTTTTATGGAGGACTTAACTAAATTAAAGAAGTAGAAAAAATTGCAAAATTTTGAATTTTCCCCAAATATCACACGAGGACTTCAGGCGACCAAGCGTGGATGTCCGTTGACAGTTTATTCTTCATATTATTCATAAGAATGAGTTCCAATAAAATATCATCATAACGTATCATTGTGAGTCAGTCTACATCAACATTCTCAGCTGGGAATGCGTCAATATTTAAAATTTTCCTTTCACTCATTGTTACCTGCATTCAAAAATGTCGGTTATGCCTCGTCTTTATCGATATATCAATATGGAATGAATAAGAATTATGATAAGGATCAGTCTAGTAATCCAACAGCAGGCCAGTGAAAAGAGTGTGCAACCGCGGAACAAATCCGCCGAATGCCTCTCCATAATAAGGCTATCACATACTTATGTCGCTCATTTTCCCCTTGATATATCTTGTTTGTAAAAGATGAGAAGGGAAAGTGTCTTGTATATGCGACTTCTCATAGAGCCCAGTCAACCATATTTGGCATCTTGGGCGTTTTGTTGTCTGAGTGAGTAACAGACAAAAAAATAACGATAGCAATACCTAATACGGTCATACAACGAAAACGTGACATACAAGAAGTTTTAATCTGTTTCAGAAAAGGACAATATACCATCTGTCCTGTGGGAAGTGACACTTTTGTGGAAGGGGCATTTGTTTTTCTTTTTTTGGAGAGAGAGATAAATGAGTCGAAGGTAGGGCGAAACTACATCTGCAATCACATCCAAGCCAAGATAATATCTGAACTTAAATAACTTTGTAATATGATGCGAATAATGACTTTTATTACACAATGAGAAAATAATGAAGTTCGTCATATTCCCTGCGTCTTACCTAAATACTCAATTCCACTCGCCTCAAGCATAGACAGAACATTATTTGTTCTCAGACCATTAACACGGCGAAACTAACCGCAAATCTAATTTGCAATTCAGTTCCATTTGGCAGATTTAGATACATTTTAAAAGATGTTTGAAAGGGCGGGGCCATGGTTTTGGCGCGAAAAAAGAATTTTACCTTGCGTATTAATTATCTCTTCAATCAAGATAAGCTCTTTATTTAATTTAAAAGAAAACGCAACACAACTTTAATATTTTAGCATATGTCATCTATCTAAACAAAAAAATAGGAGTACGATAAAAAAAAAATACCGCCACCTTTTTCTATAAATAAAAAAAGGGGGAGGGAGGAGTTGTCTGCCTGAAATGGCTTACTTATTTAAAAAGAATGTCATTCATTATAATCTCTCTCTCTCTCTCTCTCTCTCTCTCTCTCTCTCTCTCTCTCTCTCTCTGGGGGAGGGTAAGTGTGGTGTGTGTGGTGGGGGGGGGGGGGTCCGCCATATTGTTTGGAAAGCGGGGAGGGGGAGACGTTGGATTCATTCACACCCTCTGTCATCTTGCACAACGGCCGCAAACATTCGCCAGCCAGGGTAACGCTTTTCAACATGCGGTGAACATCAATCTGTCACAGCCGAGATTTTATTTTTTGAACAAAAGGCCAAATGAAATAGTCTCCCTCTTTCCAATTCAAAATATTTAAAAAGAAGTCAATAAACAGCTGTAATTTCTTTTGACTCACGCGAAAAGTTTATCACTGGCAAAGATCGTCGATTTATTTTGTGTTTGATGTATTTTATACAGACCACCTATAGAAGTGTGACAAGAGTTAAAAGGAAGACATGGCCTTCGCCACAACGAAGCGCCAAAGATTTTGGTGTTGCCATTGAAATCTTGAAGGCGCTTAGTACACTTCTCATAAACGAAAGTTTAGAAATTCTGCCTATGTCAACAAACCTTGACTGTTGTTCAAGTGCAAACAGACAAATAAAGTAGTCAGCCGTTCATTTTTACAGTTATATTTATAGCAACTAATTTTCAAGGTTTTTAATAGGGTAAAATCATAGAGCGAAAGTCACGTCGCTTCAGTGGTCATGAATAAGCGGTTCTCTCTTTTGAAAAGCAAGCCGACAACAAAAGCATTGTGAAATTGTGCAGTTTGACCGATTTTTGCACAAGTAAATAGAACTGATATAATCATATTTCAATTTCCTTATTTATTGCTGGTGTTTTGATTTTACATTCATTATACACTCGTGTCTGTAAACTTCACAATTGTAACGATCTTTTACCGTGGGAATCTCTAATATCAAGAGAACCGTTCAGATCTAACGCAAATGATCATTACAAATAAATCACCAAAAAGATGCTTAATCAATTCCTGTGCTTATAAAAGTGATAGAGATGTAAAACGATAAAGATATTTATTTACTTTATCAAAATACAATCCTAACCTGTCAAAATTTGACTCCGATTTAGACTATATACAAAAACATTTGATTCGCAACTAAATTAAATTAGAAATGATTCCTTTTGCGTCAGTCCGCCATATTTTACATTAATTTAAAGGGCACCCTCAAATTCTTGTATTCCAAAACAATTAAGATAACCATAAAAAATACAAATATAAATACAAATGGGATACTTATGGATTCGTGGTATTTTGGCTATTTTCAAAACTATGTCCAGTCATAAGTCAAGTCATGTCATTTGTCCATGTTGACACACTGTCTCTTGCCCCGTTCTGTTAGTTCGCTATGAAACAGTATCCTGTTGTTTTCCGGGCGATTCGCCTCATTGAATAAGATATATCCTTACATCACCTTTGACGTCACACTTAGCCAGTGGAAAACGTCTTTACAACTTGTAACAAAGATGTTTGCTATTACAGCACGGGCATGTAATGTTTTCACTGTAACTTTCGCACAAAACGGGCGGTCACTCGATCACCGTGCGTGTGACCACCGGCTATCAAATGGCAAATGACAACAAAAACAAACAACACGGGAATTATAGAACCTCTTTGGAGACTTGTTTTGGAAATCACTCGTGTGTGATACACCCGTTACGAACATCCGGCCATTGCATTTAATGAAGTCAAAGATTATGTCTAAAGTGTCTAAAGTCATGGGTGGGGGATAGGTTTTGGCAGTTAATAAACAGATCTCTCACCTTCGGGAGACGCGCTCATTATTGTTAACACGTACCGGTCAAGGTTGCCCAGAAAATAAAAGTTACGAATTTCGTACTTCGATAATAATAATAACAATAATAACACGACTAACCTGGATATTCTGTGTGACTTTAGAAGCCGTCCAGTCATCGCTTTGATATTGAGGACAACACAATGTCTTTATTGGCATTTTTACCCATAGCTGATCTTTGTCTTTAAACTTATAAAAACAACATTGTGAAGAAATTAAATTGCATTTTTCTTTTTTGCTCAAACGCACAATTAACCAAATGTAATTTATTACTGCCAGATTTAACAATACACGCTGAGGCTGACAGCTGAGGAGGGAAAAGAGAGGAGGGTGAGGTACTCCATTCCAGAGCGACCGCTCCCCCTCAAACTACTAGCTTTAAAAGTTGCGTATACGGTGCTTTGGACAAGACAATATTGATAACGAATTTTCCTGGTGTCCTCAAATTTATTTATAAGGCCTACCACTATCAGTCTTTTGGACTACCAAACCCAGTTATACTCTATATAAATGCGTTATTTGAGCTGCCTTCATATTCACTAGGTTAACAAATCTTATAGGCCTATTATTATTAGAATTCTTAGAATTATTATTATTATTAGAATGTAACATATGCCTTTTCAGTATAAAAAATCTCCGGGGAAAGTCCTTTCGATGAAATGTTCCTTTTTCTTACTTTTATCCATTTATTAATGGAATAAAATTATTATTAACACGATAAGACCAGTTAATGTTGTCAAACAGGATTGCACAGTCAGACTTTCTGTGGAGCACAGTGCAGTCAGTTGCGTATATTGTGTTAGGTGAGAAGAGCACAACTGCCATCAGGCAACGCATTTTGCACCAACAGAGGCCCATCAACTGACTCTGAGGCAAAAGAAATCAGTTAAATCATCTTGATGTTTCTTTCCCTATTTGTTTGTCTTTCTATCTAATGTCATTATCATTGCTGTGTTTTGTAACCAGTGTTGGCCTTGATGTATGGGTTGAATGTATGGCCATATTATAACCTATGCAAGCACGTTTTTCAGTTGTTATATCAAACATTAAACAATAACTCGTTTTAATTCGACAAAATAAAATCGCTTTCATGTCTTTAGGATAAGCATATTTCTTTCATTTCAAACGTGTCCAAATTAAAACGAGTATTTTTTTAACATTTCTGTTTCAAAATTTTTAATGCTCTGAATGAAAATGTTTCATTGGCTTTTGTGAGTGTTTAACTGGCTATCGGCCGTTATAGATTAATCAAATTCTATTAAATAAAAAAAGAAGATGAAGATGAAGGAGAGGAAAAAGATGAAGAAGAAAGGGCCACGAGAAATTGATGATGACTCCTTGGAATTTTAATCGTTGGCGCGAAATAAACCGGAAGTGAAGAGGATTGTGGGAAGGTTGCAGCATGTGAAATATTTTTTGACAGAAATTTAGATGTTGCGGTGTAGAAGACCCTTGCAAAAACTTTACAGTGCTTGAAATTATATAGTCACTCTCTCTTTTTGACATAAAAGTGCCTGTGAGTATACTAGCAGCCATTTTACAATCACAAATTTCAGTTTTGTAAAGCTAAATTAAATTGAACTCGCAGGAACTGGTGCTGCTACTAGACACCTGCCACTGCCACCGCTTTCAGCTATTTTATTGCCCTTTATTACCTGCTTAATTATTTAAAGTACACGTAGTAATATGGACTCGAAATTTGCATGTTGTAATTCAAGTAATGTGGGCTATTTCCGAAACTTGATCAGCATCAATACAGTTGTACGTGGGAACCACGTTTCACATAGCATTTACATGTACATGTACTGTATGTTTTATTTTGTATTCACATTTGGTTTATGAAGCTTCATGTTTGCCTCTGTTGCAGAGAGGAATATATCTTTTATCTTACCTCTGGCTTTGACTTCATACGTTGCCAAAAAGCATTGGTTTTTTACTGTTGATTAAGTCGAAATGTGAAACTCTTGCCATAATATCTTGTTTACTTGGTCATTCCTACAACGTCACCATATCTAAAGATCCCACAATGTGATTATAACATAATTATGAGCATGCAAACTTACTTCCTTTTCTTTTTAACTCTGACTAGTAATTCTTGAACAGGCCGATTCCTAAGTTGGACCATTTAGTATATTTTTAAAATGATAAAGTCTAACCTGTAATTGTCCAACTTGGCAAGTAGCAAACTATTTCATCTCTGCCCTCTCTACCTTTATACCCTGGATCTACAAATTCCTACTTGATTTTAAAATGTGTGCCTGAAGTGAATATAATTCTAATGGACACAAGGGACATTTTACTACAACACATAATAGACATTTAATTGATAACATGAAATCGATAGCAGGAACTGTTCTCAAGTTGGCATTAGTAGTCTTTTTATTTTATTTCTTTTCTAGTTCTTAAGCCAAGATGACGGCCTTACCAGCCCAGCAGTTGCCAAACTCCGGCACCAGACTTGAGGCTTATATCACCCATGTGGTGGCCCAGGGAAAGAGCTGCATCTTCTGGGCCCAGATTGATGCCCCTGCAGCCCACCAGGTGGAGACAGCAGTGGAGACAGCTGTGGCTGGGCTTGAAAGTGACCAGACCACCATCCCACAGCCCTCTGACTTACACCCAGGGGACCTGTGCTTAGCACAGTCTCAAGAAGATCAAAAGTGGTACAGGGCAAGGGTTGAAGGCTTAAATCCAGATGAAAATGCAGCCAGGGTATATTTCATAGATTATGGCAATGTTGAAGCTGTGTCCCTTAGTAATATCCGTCTCAAGAACAGTTGTTTCAGTTTACCAGCCCAAGCTTTTCAGTGTGTCCTTGCTAACTTTGGTCCCACAGATAACAACCAATGGTCTGCACAAGAAACTGAGCATATAACAGGGAGACTGGAGTACTGTGAATGTGCTGGGTTGGTTCTGGACACAGTTCAAAGTTCCCAGGGTTCAAGGCTGGTGATGGAGTTGTATAAAGATCTGCAGTCACCTGAACTGCTCATTGCTGAGCTTATTTCCCATGGCTGTGGTGAGGCAATAAGTGACAGCTGTGGAGCAGCAGTTAATGCCCCCAGTGATAATGTAAGGACAGAGATAAGGAGAATGGAGTTGGAGCAAAATGTTCAAGTTGACGTTTACATCAGCCATTCTGAGGGTCCGTGTTTGTTTTGGGTTCAGCTGTCAAGTGAAGAAGACAAACTGATGAAGGTGATGGCAGAGCTGGAGAAATCAGACAGTTTTCCCTCGCTGCAGTCTGCGGAGGTGGGAGCCTTCTGTGTAGCCAAGTACAGTGAGGATGGAGCTTTCTACAGAGCTAGAGTGACCACGCTGCTGCCTGATGACATGTGTGAAGTACACTTTGTAGACTATGGAAATAGTGAATTTATAGCAGTAAATGCTCTAAAACAGATACCAGAAAATATGTGCAGCCTTCCCTGCCAAGCTATATCATGTAAAGTGCCATGGAAATTGGAGCCAGAGATATTTCAAGAACTAGTGCAGGATAAACTCCTTCATGCCAAAGCCATAGCCAAAACAAACCACATGTATTCTGTGCAGTTATGGAGTGATGATGGCTCCCTGGAGAGGGCAGTCCAAAGTGGAACAGGTGCTTCCCCCTCTGGGGTGTTAGGTGCATCAGGGCAAATAGAGGGACTGGTGATCAGTGAAGGTGAGCAAGAGGGGGTGTGTATATCCCATGTAGTGAACCCAGGACAGTTCTATTGCCAGTTGATCAAAAACGCTCCATTGCTTGACAAACTAATGTGTGACCTAGACGCTTATTACCAGAGTGACAGAGCTGTTAGTTTACCTGCATGTGAGAGTGGCACCTTTTGTGTAGCTAAACTTCCTTCTGGTCTTCTCTGTCGTGCTCACATCATTAACGCTTGGGGAGACTCAGCCGCTGTTGAACTGGTAGACTTTGGTAAAGTAGAGACTGTTAGATGCGACTCCCAGCTTTACCAAATAGACCCAGGGCACCTGTTAGTGCCAAGACAAGCTTTCCTGTGTGGTTTGAGTGGATGTGAACAAGAGTGGACCCCAGCACAGATTAACCGGTTATTCCAGCTTGATTCTACCACCCCTCTAGTTGCACAGATAAAAAGCACAAGCTCCACTCCCAAGGGTGTATTGCATGTAGTCACTTTGCACACCACAGACGGAAAAGATGCCATAAGCCCACATTTTGAGCAAGCTGTTCCCAACAATGCACCCATTCCTTCGAATATAAGTAAGCCACAGCAACAAAATGTGAATGGTTTTACAGAATCCCACCAGCAGAGCTCCAGTCCAGCAGCCAGTAGTATTCCCTCCCCAGATGTCACCCAGGGTGCCACTGAGACGCTGTACATCTCGGCCATCAGCTCCATTCACAGTTTCTACGGCCAGCTGTGCAAGTACCCGACAGAGACACTAGACAACTTCATGCAGCAGCTAAATGATCATTATGGCAGCAATACAGTACCAGGTAAGCTTTGTATATTGTACTATGGTTCAGCTGTAAATTTCGACACATCAGACCTATTAAGGATTGATATCAAAATATGGTAATTATGTGTCCAGACCTGTTCAGTGGAGGCCACACCCCCCAGCCTGGTGATATAGGGTGTGCTATGTTTTCACTGTAATATCATATATAAACTGTATGTTTTCAGACCTGTTCAGTGGAGGCCACACCCCCCAGCCTGGTGATATAGGGTGTGCTATGTTTTCACTGTAATATCATATATAAACTGTATGTTTTCAGACCTGTTCAGTGGTGGCCACACCCCCCAGCCTGGTGACATAGGGTGTGCCCAGTTCTCAGGGGATGACATGTGGTACAGGGTGAGAGTGTTAGGGGCCAGGGCTGATGGTGAGGTAGAGATACAGTTCCTGGACTATGGAAACAAGGAGACCAAGCAGATGGGGGAAGTCAAGTGTCTAGTACAGCCTTATCTTAGTCTGCCTCAGCAAGGTGATTGGAACTTCTGATTATATTGTATATTATATTATCTTTATCACTATTATATTACTGATACACATAAAATTGAAGGTTTTCTTACAACTTATCCTGTGTAACAGCAGTAATGGACACGGTGTGGAAGTCCTGTTAAAGTTGTTTATTTTGAGCTAGTGTTGTTTAAGCAGGTATTTACATTTGATCATTTTGTCCAAAATTTGACCATTGGAATTTTGGTTTGAGTGACCATTAAAAGCTGTTTCCAGTATCTCCAAAATGTGTCATGAAGCCAAATAAAAAAGGGTTTGTTTTTCATAAAAACATGATTATTTTCTTTTAAGCTATAAGTGCAGGCCCCACACATATATTACTGCACCAGAGATATTACCTTTGTTATTACTGATGTCTGATACTTAATTCCTCCTCCCCAGGTATTAATTGCTGTTTCCCCAACCTCCCTCCTGGCCTCACTGTGGAGGGTCTGGAGGAGCTGCTCCTGGAGAAGACCATCCATGTGTGTATTACAGAGAAGATGGGAGATATCCACGAAGTTTCTCTCACTGAACACCCAGATAATGCAGAGTTACTGAAGGTGTTTCCACCTCAGGGTATACCAGCTCCCAGGGCAAGCACAGCTCAGCAAGCAAGTCCAGGAAATACCCAGGCCAAAGCTGAGAGTAAAAGGTTTGTTTTGTAACTAACAGAAATATGTTAAGAAACAAAGAAAAAAAGGAAAATTTAGGGGCTTTGTTGTTTACAACTGTGAAAAATTACTTACGGTAGTTTCTTTATGATATCCAACTATGTAGAATTTTGACTGAATTGAGTTGAGAAAGTAAATAAAAAAAGCACAATGAATTTGAATTCCAGTGACTTAGACCTTGACTTCATCAAACCAGCTATAACAGTTGGTGATGGCCAGCGACACCAACTTCAGGTTGTCCATGTTCAGGACCCTGAGGACTTCTACTGCCATCTCCAGCACTCCATGGGACAGCTAGACCAGCTAATGGAGGATATAGATGTTTACTGTAATAGTCTACAGCCTGGGGAGGGACAGCTGGTAGGTATAGAGTCTGTATACTATCATAAAAATAAATCCTTACATCTTGCCCATAACTGATATGTATTTGCATTATATTAGGTCATATTTATGTATATAGGTATTGAACAAAATAGAGAGAGCATACAAATGTATCATTTGTTATTCATACTGATATTTATTTTTATTATGTATTTTTTTCTCCTGCTAATAAGTTATGGCTTTTCTCAAAATGTAGTTACCAAATTAAAATAGCTGATACAATTTTGCTTTGATTAAAATAATTTTCTATTCCCACCAGCACTTCTAACTGAATAATTACAGTGGTGGCAATACAAAACTTAATCCCTCGCTATCAACTAGATATGTATGCATAAAAAATGACAATGAAATAAAGAAAGAACAGTATTTATTTGGATTTAATGGAATATTAATTCATCATCTTTAAAGTTTTCTGTATTATTAAATTTGAACATTTTCAGCAAACCTATGGTCTGGGTATTCCCTGTATAGCCCAGTACAGTGTGGACAGTGGCTGGTACAGAGCTGTTATAACAGGTACAGGAACTGAGGGGGGTTATAGTGTGGGGTGTAAGGGTGTTTTATAAAATATTGACTTACAGTTGTATAGCTCAGTACAGTGTGGACAGTGGCTGGTATAGAGCTGTTATTACAGGTACAAGAACCCCGGGGGGTTATAGTGTGGGGTGTATGGTACATCTCACAGTAAGCATTTGGATATAAATGCAGAAAGTCATTATGTGTAAAGGACTTTAATGAAAAGAAAAATGGAAAATTAAAAGCGCTTTTCTCATAAGTTCTTGAACCATGGTGTGTTCAGGCCTGTGGTGTATAGAATGGTTTTTGATATTTCACAGAAAGCTCGATATATAATTGCAGAAAGTCATCACAAAAGTATTAACAATAAGAATCTTCAAAACAGAATTCCTTTCACAGGATAACTGAATTTATTTTGAATTTATTTTTTTTTCTCATAGGTGTCAAAAGAGATGGCAAGGCAGAGGTGACATTTGTAGACTACGGTAACAATGAGACCGTCCCCCAGGAAAACCTCAAGTCCATTCCACCTCAGTTTTTGAAGCTTCCAATCCAAGGTATCCACTGTAGCTTGAGTGATGTCCATTGCTTTGAAGACAACTGGCCACAGCAGCAGGTGAAAGCCTTTGAGGAGGCCACAGCAGAGCATGTCTACACAGCCCTGTTTGATTCTTATGTGAAAAATGAAGAACTGTTCTCTGTAGAATTATTTGATGCCAATGGACAGAATTTCAACGAGCAGTTTGGCAGCAGCTGTGGAAAACTTAACAAGCGTCGCACTCCAGTGAAGTTACCCCCAGAGAGGGAAACAGTCAGGCAGCAGTCTCCTTTTGGAGGTGGATCTGGTTCTCCAGGTAGTCAGCAAGGTGGGGCAAGGTCTAGTCCAGGTGGACAAAGCTCAGGTAGGCCAGGCTCAGGTAGGCCTAGTCCAGGTAGGCCCCCATCAAATAGATCCAGTCCAGGGAGGCCCCTGTCAGGTAGACCAAGTCCAGGTGGATCAAGTTCAGGTAATTCTAGCAGGATGAGCCCAGGGAGGGGCCACCATCAAACACAAGTGCCCACAGCCAGCACTTTTGCTTCAGCATTTGTCTCCTTACCTTTGAGGGATGGTGAATTCAAAGACATGAGGGCAGTGTACACCCTGAACCCCAGTGAGTTCTACTGCCATCTTCACGAACAGGAGGAACTGATAGATCATCTAATGAATGCCTTGCAGGACAAGTACAAGACAATGCAGCACACAGAATGTACTATAGACAATCCTCAGGTGGGCATGCCTTGTGTCGCCTGGTACCCCGAGGATAAACACTGGTATCGAGCACAGCTTAAGTCAGTGGACGACTCCATTACCACAGTTCAGTATGTAGACTTTGGGAATTGTGAGACAATCTCTGTGAATAGAATCAAGGAGCTGCTGCCACAGTTCATGGACATGCCAGCCCAGGCTGTAAAATGCAGTCTTCATAACGTCAGACCTCTGGGACGAGAATGGAACAAGCAGGCCACGGATAAGCTGGAAGAGTTGCTAGGAGAAGATACTAAGGTGGTGTCCCTTGTGTCCAAGATGCCAGATGGTGGCTACTCTGTTGAAGTCCTGGACACTAGTAAACCAGGAGATGACATGATCAATAAGGTCCTGGTTGAGCAAGGATTTGCCCAAACAGAACATGCCAGCCCTCCAAGTATGCCCTCTAAGGGAAGAGGAGGGGACAGTGGGTATAGAGAAGAGAGGAGGGGCTATGAACCACCGCCAAGAATGGTAGGAAGACAGGTTAAGTCACCTCCACGAGGAGATGTACAACCTAGAGAGGATAGAAAGCCTAGAGGACCTCATCACACTTACGGAGTGCCAAAGCCATACACAGATCTGACTTTTGATAGTGGGCAAAAAGTTGATGTTATATCTTCCTGGGTACTTAGTCCACATGAGTTTTGGGTACAGCTGGTGGAATCCCAGAATTCCCTAATGGAGTTAATGGAGGCAATAGAACAGCGATATTCTAGTTTACAAGATGCAGAAGAGGTGCTGCTCAACGTTGTCCAAGGTGCTGCTTGTGTAGCGCAATATGCTAAAGATGGCGGATGGTACAGAGGCCTAGTGCAGGGCATTAGAGGCAATCAGGTCCAGGTTTACTTTGTTGATTATGGGAACAGTGAGTTAATACCCAGAGCCAAAGTGAAGGAGACCAACCCACAGTTGCTCCAGCTACCACTCCAGGGGATCAAATGCAAGCTGAAGGGGGTGGAACCCATAGGCAGAGAATGGCTGATAGATGCTGGAGTATTACTAGAGGATCTTATTGGTGAAAGTGCCACTTGTTACATCCTTGCTAAAACCAAAGATGTTCACTTGGTGGATATACAGTCATCAGAAGGAAAAAGTGCAGCTGATGAGCTGATTGCTGCTGGTGTGGCAAAGCAGTACCATAAAGAAGGGTCGGATGCCTCCAGTCACAGGTCCAGTGGTTCTGGAGCATCTTCAGGATTTGGCAGACATCAGTCAGACAGGAGAGATGGGAGAATGGATAAGAGAAGAGAGCAGCGTTCAGGTGCCTCACCACGGCAGTCCTCCCATGGGTCCAGGTCCAGCAGTATAAGTGATGATAGCAGTAGAGGACCTCCTTTTGATACATCTGATGGATGGCAGCCCACCAGATCAGTTCAGAATCAAGGCGGAAGACGAGATGATAATAGAAGGTTTGGAGGCAGAGATGCTGGTGGGAGAGATTTTGGTGGAGGCGGGAGAGATACTGGTGGGAGAGATTTTGGTGGAGGCGGGAGAGATGCTGGTGGGAGAGATTTTGGAGGAGGTGGGAGAGATTTTAGAGGAGGTGAAGAGCGTGGCTTTGGTGCACGACAGGGCAACAACAGAAGAGACGATGGTGGTGGTTTTCAAAGAAGACATGAGAACCGGGACAGTGGTTACCAAAGCAGGCAAGGGACGGACAGCAGATTCCAGAGAGGACAAGATAGACATGGTAGTGGTAGATTTCAAGATAGAAATGATGGAAGTGGAGGGTTTGGTGACAGGGGAAACAGAGGCGATGGTTTCAGGAAAGGTGGCGGTGAGGGCCGTTCTGGAGGACAGCCACCATCACCATCAAGAGGTAAAGGAACTTGGGACGGTAGTGGAGACATAATTATCAAACCATCCGAGGCCGAGTGGGGTGATGGAGATGATTTTCTGCCAGTTCATACAGAAACGGCTTCTCAGACCTCAGATCTAGCTTATAAAGAAACAAACCTTGGGGTGGGTGATGCCCAAGATGTTTTAGTCTCTCACATTGAGAACCCAGGGCATTTCTATGTACAGCTAAACTCCCAGGCGGCTGAGCTGGATAAACTGATGTGGGGTATAGAGGAGTATTACTCCAAACTAGGACTAGATCAAGACATATTTCCCAACCCGTCTGTTGGTAACCCATGTGCAGCCAAGTTCAGTGAGGACAACATGTGGTACAGGGCAGTTGTCACATCAGTGGTATCCCCTACCCAGGTTGATGTCCATTTTGTAGACTACGGGAATAGCGAGGTTGTTCAGACTGATAATGTGAAAAAGGTTAAGAAGGAGTATTTGAACTTGCAAGCCCAGGCTGTGAAGTGTGCTTTGTCCAGGTTTACCCCAGTGTCCCTTGCTCAGACCACGACAGAGTTTTCTAAACTTGTTGTCGGAAAAGATATAAGCTGCAAATGCATAGAAAAGAAAGGAGATACCTGCCAGGTTGAGCTGACAGTCAAAGGGAGTGGAGTCAATGTAAATGAAGAACTTGGAAAACTTTATCCATCTGAGATCTCTTCAGCTGAATTCATACAAGGGGAACCTGGTTATATCTCTCATGTTGCCTCTCCAAGTAACTTCTGTGTACAGCTCACTAAGGATGAGCCCAAGCTGAACAACTTGGTTGAAAGATTAAATGTCGAATATTCCGCCATGACAGCCGAGGAGAGATTGCTACCCAGAGTTAACGTTGGCCAACTCTGCTGTGCCAAATTCTCTGAGGATGGAGCCTGGTACCGCGCCAGCGTCACTGACGTCACCGACTCTCAGGTGGTTGTCAGGTTTATAGATTTTGGCAACAGGGATAACTTGACCCTTGATAACATCAAGGAGATGAAGGCGGAGTATGTGGACACTCCAGCCCTGGCAATACAGTGTTCACTAGCTAAGACTAACCCAGTGGGAGATGGTGGCTCCTGGTCCCAAGAGGCTTGTGCCAAGTTCCAGGAAATGACCTCAGACCAGGAAATCAAAGTGATATTCAAGTCTGAGGTGGAGCCATACAATGTCAGGGTCCTTAAAGGAGAGACTGACATAGGAAAGGAACTGGTCGCGCTTGGCTTTGCCACCGAGAAGCCAGCCTCTAGAAGAAGCTCAACTCATTCTGTAGAGATACAAGACCCCGCCACACTCTCAGGGAGGAAGATCCAACCCCCAGTGATCCCTGTGAACCAGACTGCCAAAGCCTATATCTCTCATGTCGAGACTCCCACCTGTTTCTTTGTACAGTTATCAGGTGTTGAAAAGGAGTTGGATCCTTTGATGAGTCAGTTGGAGAGCACCTGTTCAGTCCTGGGCCCAGATGAGAACAAATTGGTGTCTCCTGAGCCGGGTGTGGCTTGCTGTGCTCAGTACAGTGAAGACCAGGCCTGGTATAGAGCTGTGATAACATCCAGAGAGGGAGACATGGCAAGAGTCTGCTTTGTAGATTATGGCAACTGTGAAAGCACCAAGGTTTCGTCCCTAAAGAGTCTCAGTGCTGATTTGGCAAAGAAACCCATCATGGCTATCCGGAGCACTTTGATGCTGTCTGATGGGAGTGATTTACCTGAGGAGGTGACACAACAGCTACTGGAGAAGACCCAGGACAAGGAGTTACTTGTGACATTCCTGACTCAGTCAGAGCCATGTTTGGTTGTACTTAAAGACAGTGAAGGGAAGGACATTGATATTGGTCTTCCTGCTCCTGTGGTGACAGCTGGTGCACATGTCACAGTCCCAAAAGGTCCAGGTAGGTTAAATAACTTTGTATCATTAAGTATATTCATCGATGGTGTTTTGCCCCTTTTATACAAAAGGTTATGTGAAAACTTTGAAAATTTATTAACCATAACCTATACTTTGGATTTTAAAGTGTTTGATAAAATATCCTGCTTATAATTGCAATATAATAGAATACCGATTCCCTTTTTCTTGTTTTTTTTTTTTTTTGTTTTTTGTTTTTTTTTTGTAAAAATGTAATATTAAACAAAAGTTAATTGATTTTAGCCTTTCCAACCTTCAAGATGCCGTCACTGGCAGAGGAGAAGAAGGAAAGTGTTTATGTGACCCACGTGAATTCTCCCAGCCAGTTCTGGTGCCAGCTTACTAGAGGAGAAGACCAGCTCTCTGAGCTCATGACACAGATAGCGGAACACTACAACTCACTGCCGTACACAGAAATCCAGAAGAAGGTCAGTGTCCCATGTATGGCCAAGTATTCTGAAGATGGGGCATGGTACAGGGCGAAGATATTACGTCCGGGTCTTAGGAACTGTGATGTTATCTTTGTAGACTATGGCAATGTGGAGAATGTGAGCATGACGGACATACGTCCCATGGAGAAGAAATTTCTGGAGCTGGAGGTCCAAGCTGTGGAATGTGCCTTGCAGGGGGTCCGTTCCCCGCAGGGACCATGGTCCAAGGAAGCTAAAGCTCGCTTCCAAGAGATAGTTGCTGATAAAAAGCTGATAGCAGACATTGTGATGCTGGGGACGGCTGGTGAGGATAACACAGATTTAGGCTGTATGGTGAACTTGTTAGATATGGGGATCTCTGTGGCTGTGAAACTGATAGAAGAAGGATTGGCCGAGAAGACAGGCTCTCTCTCTGAAGGCTCGCCAATAAGACCAAAACCTGCCGACAGCAAAACTTTGGACATTTCTGACGATGATGTGCTGCAGGAGACTGCAGACCAACAGAAAACTGCTACTGGGGGCGCCGTTGTTGACTTTGTCGACGCAGGAAGCAAATATCAGCCTGTCATGTTAAAAGATGGCGAGAAGCGGGAGGTGTTTGTCTCCTTTGTAAGCTCACCAAGTCAGTTCTGGATACAGTTTAAGGAGCAGCAAGACCAGCTTGATCACCTGATGGAGCAACTATCTGAGCAGTACAGTGACGACACACCTGCTGTAGCGTCACAGTCCACTGGTATGCCCTGTGTGGCAAAGTTTGAAGAAGACCAGGCTTGGTATCGTGCAGTAATTCTAGAACTTAAAGACGACCAAGCACTGATCCAGTACGTGGATTATGGAAACCAAGTCCATGTTCCTTTAACTGAGGTGAAGCCAATGAAGAGTGAGTTGATGTCATTGCCGTCCCAGGCTGTGGAGTGTTTGTTGACAGGTGTGAGATCTGAAGGTACCACCTGGACCCCAGAGGCCATAGACACGTTTACAGGTGAGTTACATTTCATGATTTTGACCAACATGACATAGATTGTAGAAGATAATATATATCAAGAAATTTTAGTTTCTATGAGAAATTTTTCTCACAAAACCATAAGGGTTTTTCAATGAAATCTTTTATAATACTATGTAAAAAAAATAATTTCTTAGAAGAACTCTTATGGTGGATAATATTTATATATGTTGAACATTACTACTTTCTCTAAACCTCTTATAAGTTTTACTTAAAAAAAATTTAATTTCTCTACACAGTCCTCACGAACATTATTAGTTTTCATAAAAATACATTTCTGATGAGTCGGTTAATAGATGTTGAGTAAGTTTCCATTAGAATGACATACATGACAAGAATATTGGAACATTTCTACTGAAATTTTCTTGCTTTAAAATCTTTCAATTTCCCCCTTTGTTTCCAGAACTGACCACAGACAAGACGTTGCTGTGTGAGGTGGAGAGTGTGGGGGATGACTGGTCATGTATGGTCAAGCTACTGGACATGGGGATGTCTATAGCAGGGATGATGATAGAGGCAGGGGTGGCTGGGGATGCCCATCAGCCTCTGAACATAGCCAGAAAGACTGTGGAGTAAGTTGTGGACAGGGTCTTTGTTTTTTTAATTATTATTATTATTATTTTTAGTGAAAAGTGAGGAGTGTTGAGGTTATGTTACAAAAATTGTAGAAAATATTAAGTGATATTGATTTTGGCATACAGGCCCTAGTGAGTTACTGTGAAGATGGCTTACTTTTCTTAAGTTGTTAAATATGTGAAGATAAAGTTTTTAGTACATTAAATTTAAAGGTGAGGTATCAATGGAACTGGTACATTAAATTTAAAGGTGAAGTATCAGTGGAACTGCTTAAAACATTGGCATTTTACCTTTTTTATTTGAATCGGAAAAAAATTGCTTTTGAAAAAAAAATGTCAGAACGTTTATCTCCTAGTCATTTGTGTTCTCACTCTAGGTACACATCCCCCTTTGTTGAAGAGGGCTCCAAGCTCCAAGTGTTTGTCTCTGCCTCCACCAACCCCGCCCAGTTCTACTGCCAGCTAGCCAGCTCCTCTAATGACTTGCCCATCCTCAGGGACACCATCCAAGACCTATACTCCCAACTCTCGGAATCTCAAAATTGCCTGGAAAATCCAGCCCCAGGGAAACCCTGCGTGGCCCAGTTCAGTGAAGATGGGGGTTGGTACAGGGGTGTGGTCACTGGGGTTAGAGACGAGGGGGTGGATGTCACCTTTGTGGACTATGGCAACCATGAGTGTGTGGAGCCGAGCAAGGTGAAAGATCTACAGAGAGAAGTGTCCAGGCTCCCCATTCAGGCCATCAAGTGCAAGTTATCTGGCATCTGCCCTGTTGGAGAGAGGTGGGACCCAGACTCCATGACCAGGTTTGAAGAACTGACCTGTGACAAAAACTTGGACCTGACAGTGGTTAGCGTAGATAGAGACAGTCGTGGTAATGTGGAGTCTATATTGGTAGATCTGTATGACGGAGACCTCTCTGTGGCACAGGCTTTAATTGATGCAGGCTATGGCAAAGCAATGAAGGAGAAATCCAGTGGTGCTGGCCAAGTCTTAGATCTGGTTGCTGAAGGCAGCGAAGGTGCAAGTAAAGAGGGCAGCACCAAAGGCCCACTGCCGTGCCATGTTGATTATCTGATGGGGTCGGTTCCCAGAGCTTATCCAGACCCAGGCTCTCCCACGTCTTCTACTACGTCAGACCTTGTTGACGCCTTGATAGATAACACGCTGAAGGACGCCTGTGCTGCCATCTATGCAGGGAAACTTATTGATACAGCCGTGGAGCGTGTCTCCATTGATCTGCAGTTTAAGCTTCCTCAGTTTGAACCCGCTGAAACTGTCCAAGTCAGGTGTGTTAGCATTGAGAGTCCACACCTGTTCTGTGTCCAGCTGGTTTCAGAGGAGCTGTCCAGGCTGATGCCCAGTATCAACAGGTACTGTGATGCCCAAGCTGAGCCCACTGAGGAGGGGAAGATAGGACAGGCTTGTCTTGGGATGTCTGCCAGAGATGGACAGTGGTACAGGGGAGTAGTGGTGAAACAGCTGGGAGATACACATGAAGTAAGTTGAAGGGTGGTTTACTCTGTAATATGTCAAACTGTAAAACTCAAAAGAGTCAGGTATTCACAGTGCTGTGTATTGAAATATAAAATGGCAGGTTGTTTACTGTAATTAATTGATATCAGTTTGAAATTTCAAATTAGTGTTTAGAAATATTACCAGAGTGAAATAAAAAAAAAAAATTAATAAGGTAGATGGATAAAAAGATACATAATTTGCTATATTTATTCAAGAAAGGTTGTGAACTAACAGCTTAGTGTCTGGTTGCATTATCTGTCCATGTTTTTTTTTATTATTTTGAAGGAGACTTAAGATAAATACACTTTGTATAATCCTAGGTAAAGTTTGTTGATTATGGAACCATGGAGGTTATACCTAAGAACCTGGTGTGTAACATTCCTGATGAGTTCCGAGAGTTACCAGTCCAAACTTTGCTGTGTAGGCTGTCTGGTGTATCACCACCAGGGGGACGCTGGTCAACACAGGCCATTGCTTATTTTAAGGGTAAGATAGCACAGGCCATTGCTTATTTTAAGGGTAAGATAACACAGGCCATTGCTTATTTTAAGGGTAACATAACAACTTACTTGGTACTGTATCCTTTCATTATTGGTTCACGTTTGTTCAAACTATTTCTTGAAAAAAAGGAAAATGCAATCTTCTGTTTATTTCATATTATACTTAGTGGACTGTTAATTGACCTCTGGTAGATCGAATAAAGCAACCATGCCTTGGGCAAAATATTGATGTGAATTTTTTGACCCAATCAGTTTCCACTTAATTTATCCACTACATAGTCTTTGTTGTTTGTTTCATGATAGAACTGTGCCAGGGGAAGACCCTGATAGCCCGCGTCAGTGACACAGAGGTCAAGGACATGTACAGTGTGTACCTGTATGATCCCACTGAGGATACGACGCAGTCCATCAATCAGATGTTGACCAAAGAGGGCCACGCGGACATGGTGCCAGGGAGTGACCTGGAGCTGGACATGGAGGCAGCTTCTCTGGAGGAAAGTGGAGCAGAGGTGCTAGGTTAGCATGGAGTTATTCTCTCTCTCTCTCTCTCTCGTTTATTTACTGTTTGAGTATTTCAAAAGTAAAAACTCATGACTAGAAAGTAGGGAGAAAGATATTGTAAGGTCCAGGCCTGTAGCCATCAAATGCAAAACGGAGGGGGGGGGGGGTACTTTTTCTGAAAAAGTGGACCTTATAACAGGCCTAGTTGACCCAACTTGGGGGAAATGATATATTACCAAGATTAAATTTTGATCCAGGGGCAAAAAGCCAAAGGGGTTACTTTGTATGAATCCGTGGACCCCCCCCCCCCCCCCCCCCCCCCCCCCCCCCCCCCA